AAGTCTCTTCAGTGAGAATGTCACAAAATGATTTAAAAAGAAAAGCCAAATTCTGAGAAAAAAAAGTGAAATTTTGAGAAAGAAAGTAAGATTTAGGAAAACAAATCTAATTCTGAGAAAAAGACAAATTCTGAGAAAAAAAAGTCAAATTCTGAGAGAAAAAAGTCAAATTCTGAGAGAAAAAAGTCAAATTTGAGATGCATTGTGGGACATGTAGTTTATGGGCAACGTGCTTCTGTAAAGTAGCATGTAACCGTATAATAAACATATTGTATTCTTTGCAAGCTCTTATGGGGCCACATGAAATGAAGTCGCGGGCCAGATTTGGCCCCCGGGCCTTGAGTTTGACACCCCTGGGTTAGACTGTGGGGTAATACAACTACATTTATCTTTAATTCAGATATTCATATTTTGTTACCTGTTCATAATCATTCCAAATATACAATTTGAATAAGTTTGCACTACTGTGTGTGGATTATTCTATTGGTATGGGTTTATTGATTTCTTCTGTCTTTTTCTCTGCTCAGTGCTGCTCGTACTGTGACATGGTCGGATCGACCCTGGGCTGCTACAGTAAAGGCTGCACACTTCGCTACCATTACCTGTGTGCTATTGAAGCAGGTGAGTGCATGCATTCAATAAAAGCAAGGAAGGAATACTTCACCTCCAAAATGATCGATTACTTGTTACCTTGAGTTTTTGAAGAATAGGTTGTTTTTTCCGCATGCCCTCACGATGAAAATCCAAAACCCAGAGAAATAAATTCGAAGTGTGTTTCAAAAAGCAAAACTATTCGAAAGTCTCAGATAAATGGGACTTGGGGAAATCCTGCACGATTTGAGTGAGAGTTTGATTAAACGTGTTTTGGTATATTATTGCTGCCGACCAGCGTTTCCGCCAGGGGGGCGTCTTGCCGTAATTTCCCCCCCCGCGCGCGCTCTCGGGGGGGACGCCCTCTCAGCCCTGGTCTGGCGGAAACACTGCTACCGACATTTACTTAAATTCTTCCTTACTTTTTAATGTTTTTTGATTCTTCATTCGTCGAAGTGGCATGCAAGCAAAACTCAAAATGTCTTCAATAGATCAACACAGGGAGGCTTTGGAAGGCCTATCACCCACCCATTGAACAAATCCACCAAATGTTATGATGATTAGATCAATTCTAGTATCGTACTAATAAGCTCTGCTCCCCCTTCCAGATTGTTCTCTGAACGAAGATAACTTCTCACTGCGGTGTCCGAAGCACAAGGTAAAGAAAGAGAGGTTGGTGTTTGCTTTAAGAAACTCAGTGAAAGTCCTCATCACCACCCATTCAGTGTTTCTAATCACTTCTTCAATCCCTTCCTCTAACCTCAAACTGTTTTCTGTCCGTCTCCTTCTCTCAGTTTACTCAGAGCATTCGGCCACCCAAGTCAGTTTACCTGGAGCAGTCAGAGAGAGGCTGAGAGAAACGCAGAAGAAGGAGAGATACAGGAGTCATGGAGCTGTAAGTTTGGACTCGGTTTTGTGTGTGCTTGTTTTCTATTTCAGGGTTTCCGCTAGGATTCTTTCTTGCCGGTCAAGTGTCCGGAAATAATTAATTTTACTGGACAAATTCTAAACTTACCGGTGATCTTTCAATAATAAGAATAAGAATAAGAATTGTGTAGCAGAGTTTCCGTTAGCAGGTAATTGCCGGACTATGACCGGATATGCTGATGTTTAAAACTCACTTAATGACAGATCGAAAAATTCAGATTCATTTTTCAATAAATGATACGCTTCCACGAACAACAAACACAACATAATTATTACATTCAAACAAACTACTTGTAGTAGATGAAGTACATTATTCAAAAGTTGACATTAACTTTGAACAGTAACACAGGAGAAACGGATCCTCTCTCTCTCTCTCTCTCTCTCTCTCTGTCCCTCTCTCCACAGTGGGCGGGGCTTCAGGTGATCAGAGCTGCGTGTCTCCGTCAGACTCAGCAGCAGATCTGATCTCTCTCGCCCATCCGGTTACACTTCACTCGCGTTTATGTCCATATCGCTCAGATCCAGCTCTCCTGACCGGTCTTTATAGAGAGCACCGATCAAACTATTTTGACCGTTTTTTTCTAAATGTTACCAGCAAAAAAACGTTTTTTTCCGGCTAACTGAAAGCCGGCTGTATTTGTGTGTGTAGTACGTTAAGTGATTATTAATCTTACTTACAAAAAAATGTATGGAAAAAGGGCTGCACAATATAAAAAAAAAAACTAATTGTCATTATTTTTGACAGATATTTTCAGAACTATAAAGCAGGGATTGGTCATTTTTGCCTCCTTTTCATTATCATTTAAAAATATATTTAAAATTATCATATTTTTATTTTATTTGTATTATCCGTACCAAACAAATATGCATTGTTAAGTTTGTAGAACATTATGTGTAGCCTTTGATAGCTCTGCAACTCAAAAACTCTTTAAATGTTTTTTTTTTACATATGTTCTGCAATTTGACCATTGCACTAGTCAATATTTCGATTTCCGTAAAATGTAGATTACAGGTAGGGTAATTAACTTCAGAAACACTTTTTGTTATATTCCATGGAATGCTCTTAACATCCCGATAGCAATGAATATCTGAAATGCTTTGACAATAAATACATACAAAAATGTCATCTGTGGAAGCCGTGGCGCTGTAAAAAGCATGACCAATCATCTGAGCCGGCCCGGCTAAAATAACTGGATGGCCTACCTGCCTGTNAAACTTATTGAAATTAATTTATTGCACATATTAAACCTGGAACTAACAAAGCTTAAATTATTGCCTATAAAAACCACATTAAACATTAAATAATCAGTTGCATTCATTTCTTATGGCTCTATCTGAAGCTTTTCCGGAGTCATTTCTTATGATTATATTTTTCCACTGGCCGACAACAGCTTACAAAAAACTATTTCCCGCAACAGCGGTAATTAAAGTTTAAAAGTCTCAAAATGCTACAACTACTGTCACAAACTGGATGAATGTGAAGTATTTTGTTAAAGGAGGATGAAATCGTAATTAAGGAGCACTATTGGAGTGACTTTGATGGTTATTGGACTCAGGATTCATTCATTTGGATTCCCGCTGTATGAAGGAATTAAAGGATGGCGCAAGTGGAAACAATTCACAAAGGGATTAAACTGTTTAAAACACATGCTCAAAGTAAGCCGGATTTTGCCGATGTGCTTATGTGGATTCAAAAGTCGTAAATAATCTGCAAAATGGAGGAGACCGATCTGATCGGAGCAACTGTGACAAATAATCCAACTGAAACCGGCATGGACAATGACTATGTTTTAAAAATGGGGCAGCTGCCACCCCGTGCCACCCCGTAGAACCGCCACTGGACCAGTATAATAATATAACATAATGGATTAAGTTCCCTCTCAGAAAGGTTAGCACAGCATGGTTAAGCGGAGAAAATTATCAAAATATAGGCTGGACGGCAAGGCAGTAACCCGTTGATAAAAAAACAAACCAGGAAACCAGAGACAGATGGTTACGGGACAAAATAAAACAGGGAAAACTAATACGGATCGTAACACATTCACTTGAACTGATATTGAATTACCTAATTGGGCTGTTTGCTGGGTCCCGTCCACAGCAGTACATTTATTTTTCTTCCATGCCTGTCGTCTTGCCTGTTTTTCCAAACTAGACGGCATCCTCCACCCATTCCATTGCAATGTAATGTAAATACTGTTATATTATATTTTACTATATTTTTAATTATTTTTTATATTTTTCTAGTTCTTTATCTGTGTTTTGAATTATTGTTTTTATGCACCATGACACCAAGCCAAATTCCTCGTATGTGTAAACCTACCTGGTAATAAACCTGTTTCTGTTTCTGATTCTGATTCTGATCTAGTGCAGGTAATAAATGAACTATTGAAAAGTACCTACCCAACTTCAAAACTTCCATAATATCCCTTTCTACAAAAAGATGTGGAACATTGATCTGTTTTGTGAACATGTTTCACCTCTGCATTGAGGTTAACCCCGTGCTCACAGAGGAGCCGCAGACAGGTTTCTGCCCCTCTCCTCTCTCCGCTCACAGCCGCCTGGAACCTGGAGCCGGGTTTTGGGTTGATGCTCGGCCAACTTGCGATCACTAAATGCAGAGTAGTCCGACCGAGCTGGTCCCTGCAGAGGAAGAGAGAGTAAAGCTGGTGAAGATCGAGAGCCACTCCTTTTTTAAATAACAATATAAGGAACCAGTGACATGGGTGTCTTTGATAGGTGTCACTCATCTGGAACAGGAAGTCGCCAAAAATGAAACTCCAGTTAAGTTATAAGTTATTATAAGAGGCAACCTAATGTTACTCTTTAGTGTATGTGGGTGTGTTGTTTTGTGTTAGTGTGTGTAGGGGCTGGGCAGTATATCAATACTATATCAATATCAATATATCAGGGTATAAGACTAGATAGCACCTTACATTTCTGGTTTCATAATAATTATAATAATAATACATGAGATTTGTATAGCACTTTTATTAATGCTCAAAGACGCTTAAATAATGTCCCAATAGTGTTTTTTCGTTGTTTTAAACTAAGCATGCAAAGCGTCATAACACTTAAGTGATATCATTTTCTGAACCTACGAGACTATTTTAGAATATTACTCATGATCATTTATCATAAATTTCACAGTTTAAACATTTTGTAAAAGAACCAATGGTCCACCCGATAATACTTGAAGTACTTGGCTAGCTGTGTGTTTGTGCAGACCTTATTTCAGGGTCTTCTCCGGCTGTCAGCAGGCTCTGCAGGCTCGCTGCTCTCCTGTAAGTTGCAGCCATGTGAAGGGGAAGAGTAGAGACGCCCTGAGGCAGGACGAGACGAGACAAGACAAACAAGAACACTGGAAATTACAAATATGTGCAAGAATTTCTTCCTTTTTTACTTTTTTCTGTAAAAAGTAATGATCAAATTGGAGCTTTAAGACGTGCCAACTGTTGGAAATCATTAAGTTTCTTATGGTTATCGCTGTCTTTATGCGTGTTGTTGTTTGTAAACGATTTGGAGATATTGTTAGATATATGTTACGCTCTTTTCTGTACACGTGATAGTTTGAAACTTGTATTTACTTGCTTCAAAATGTTTGGGAAAATGGTTGCATTTACCTTCCAGAGATCTTCTCCAGGTGTGTCGCCTATCGTTGGGAGAAAGTGTCCCCAATATTTATTCGACATGTCCTCTATACGTCTTCGATCTTCATCCAGAATTGCCGTTTAGAATTTATTGTTGAGAAACTTGACTGCTCCTTTCCTCATGTTTCTTCCTCTCCTCCAACATGACCAGGCACCACAGCTTATGTGTGTGTTCAGTCCTTCAGGAGGTGTGTGTTGTCTTTAAAGGCTGGTTATTCTTGTTCGTCGGTGCAGCCATTCATTTTCTATTTCGTCAGTTAATTATGCTCTCTCTGTAGAGGAAATGTAAAAGCTACTTCTGTTTCCTGTGTTTCGATTTCATCATGTCGGTTTGAGTGTTAATAAGTTTGGTGAGAGGCCTTCCTGTCTCTACTGATAACTTCTTGATGCGTGCAGGGCCAATTGTGGGGACTGGTGACACCCTTCTGAGCTACTTACAGTTTGTTCTTGTTCCTTTTAGCAATGCAAAGGTGTACACGCTCTTCAGTCTGTCTTTAAAATGCAGAAAACTAAGTACAATTTGTATTTTAATAGAGTAACTCGTTTCTGAGTCAGTTCTCCCTCTGAAACCCTGACATTTTTTATTTCTGCGTATAATATGTTGTATAAAAGATCTCACATGCAAAAACAGAGAAAGTTAGTCTTGTCAGTGGTGCATAGTAACAAAGTACATTTACTCGGGTACTGTACTTTTGAGGTACTTGTACTGAGTATTCTCAGTTTATGCTACTTTATTTTTTACTTACTTTACTTTAGTAAGTAAAAAAAACTTTACTTCTATTGGCTTCTACATTTAAGAAGCCAATATTTTACTATACTACACTTATCTTACAGCTTTTGTTACTATTTAGATTTATTTTATCAGCTTAATTAATTATTAAGTCAACATGACACATATTGGTAGGTTAAGATATCCAGCAGCAGTATATGAAGTTATTACAATTAGCTCTACATTTACCAGTTGTGATGAAAACACATGAATATTGAATAATCAAAAGTAACTCAATATATATATATACGATTCTGAAACGGGCCATCGCGCATAAGGAGTACTATTTTGATGCTGAAACTTCTGTTATTTTACTGAAGTAAGATTTTTGAATGCAGGACTTTTAACAAAGTACTTTAAAATGTAGTATTGCTACTATTACTTAAAGGTGGGGTAGGTAAGTTTGAGAAACCGGCTAGAGATACACTTTTTGTTATATTCCATGGAATGCTCTTAACATCCCGATAGCAATGAATATCTATCTAATATGCTTTGACAAAAAGTGGAAGCCGTAGTACTGTAAAAAGCAAGACCAATCATCTGAGCCGGCCCGGCTAAAATAACTGGATGGCCTACCTGCCTGTCAGCCTTCCATTGGTCTTGTGCGTGTTCGTGTGTGTTGGAGGAGGGGCTCTGTAAGGAAGTCTGAAGGAAGGGGCAGATTTTTTCCAGTTGTGTATTTTCAAATTCTACCGCACTCGAGCTGGTTTCTACATTCTTACCTACCCTACCTTTAACTGTTCATCCTTGAATGGAAATTATTTTCAAAACATGGGCCAGAATGGTGCAGCCATATAACACCATATAGATTGTAAAAAACACCTTCCTCCCTTTGTGTTAACATGTAATGAAGCACATTATAGCAACCCAACAGGTTCGATCACCACAAGTACATTTTTTTTTCTGGGGAACATAATTTGGTTTCTCATTAACAAACTGTCAGTGAATGGGTGCTCATTTGTTGCCTCAGGGCTGATTATACATTTCCTATTCAGATAATTTAATTTCACACAGCAGTACAATAGCTACTCTACTCTATGTTGGCTCGTTCTGAGAAAATAATTATTTCTCACACTCCTCCTCGCCTCACCTTAGAGTCTGAACCGCTGCCTGTCTCTTCCTCCCCCTCACCGCCTGTCCTCATGGAAACCAAAGACAAAACGTAACTCTCCTTTTCTGCATCTTTTAGTAAGATTTCCGCCTTAATTCATCGCCGTCTGAGCCAATCTTTATGTCTTTTAAAATGGGTTCCAAAATTGGCTTTTACAAATTGAAATCCATTTGATTAAAAAAAAGAAGCAAGATTTGATGTGCTTGACTCAATTTGCACTGACACATTTTAATAATATGTCTGTCAGTGAGTCAGATAATGGAGTAAAAAGGAGTCTGCCAACCTGTTATTATCTGAGCAATTCAAAGCCCTTCTGACAGAAGTCTACTTAAGTACAGAAATTAAAAAATGTGTAAAAGCATTGCATTGTAGTGGCTGTTTTATATTACATTGTTCTAAGCCCACTTTGTTTCCAAGGTGAATTCCAGTTTCCCAAGCGTTGAAATAGCTTTAACCTTTGTGTTGTGTTCCTGATTTGACTGTTTATAAAGCATATGTGACCTGGGGGGTATACTACGAAGCAGGATTTTCGCTTAGCCGGCTAGCTTCAGGGAAAATTCGGGGTTTCCGGTCCTACGAAGCTGGTTCTCTTTTTAGCAGGCTAGATCTCCATGGTAACTTATGCTGTGCGGCTAACCTGCCCCGGAGCAGGTTAGGTTGCAGGCTAAGAGCTCAACTCAGTGAAAGCACTGCCTGCTGACCAATCAGAGCTCAGTGTGCGGAGTTTAAAGCGATCAAGTCATATTACAGGAGAAAGGAAATACAGAAAAGCTGCCGTTGCAGGAAAGACGGCCGGCAAATATCACTGACTGTGTGAACGTGAACATTAATAGAACATCACCTCCCATCTTCAGAGCAATCTGACTATTATGACATTAGCGTTAAGAAAGCTTAATTAAATATCTGCCACAACATAAGTAACCGGATCAGAGTAACATTAAGTACAGTCCACGGCATATCACATCATAATGTATCATATATCTCCTTATCTGAGTCAGCTGAGCCGTATCTGGCCGTGCAACACTCAGTGTCACATATTGTATGCATAAGTATTATTTTAAGCAACACATTAAGTTGACGAAACACCC